CTGATCTAGATGAAGATGTCCCTGCCCACGGCAGGGGGGTTGGACTAGATGACCTTTAGAGGTCCCTTCCAACCCAAACTATTCTATGATTCTATGAATAGGGGGGAAGGATCCCCTCCCTCAACCTGCTTGCAACACTTCTCCTAATGCAGCCCAGGATACCGTTAGCCTTTTTTGCAGCCAGGGCACATTGCTGGCTCATGTTCAACTTGGTGTCCACCAGGACACCCATGTTCTTTTATGCAAAGCTGCTTTCCATCTGGGTGGCTCCCAGCACATACTGGTGCCTGGGGTTGTTCCTCCCCAGGTGCAGGACTTTGCACTTCCCCTTGTTGAACTTCATGAGGTTCCTGTCAGTCCATTTCTTTGTCTTTTAATTGGATGAGGATGATAACAGACTCCTTAGGCAGTATCAGCTATCATTACTTTCCAGGTATAGTATTTAAATCATTTTCCTGAAGAGCACTGACCATCACTCTGAAAATGAAATTAACAACCTAGCAAACTAATCACAATTACAGCAAAGATTTTATGGAATCTATTTCGTGAATTAAGGTAAAAGCCTAGTGCATAAAAACATTATTTCTCTACTCTATTTACCTCTTTAATAACATTAATAGAATCATGTTTCACATCACTAGTTGGCTAAGTATTTCTAGTTTTAGGTCAGTGATTATGTTCATATACTTTTAAAGTAAATTAACCACAGCAGGCCAAGAGAATTAGAACTGACATAAAAGGTCTTTTGAAATTATCAGTTTTAGAGATTATTATGCCTTTTTCGCATGTCAAACAGCTGTAATTTATCAGCCAGAGAGCTTAGCTACTCTTGCTACTGATACCACTATAATAGGCTGGTGTATATCTATAGCACATTGCCCTGTTCAGTTCATTGATTTTTACAAACATTATTCCAACTAATATCAGGAGATTGTATTGTTATAACATTTCCAAGTACAGGCATTTAGTATTTGCAAATATCCTAAGTAGCTGATTTTCTATTAAGATGAAGACATTATTTTCGGTAACAGAATCAAAAATAAGGCTAAAGGACAAATAATGTGCCCATCACATTAGGGAAACACTAACACTTAGAATTTCCTAATCTCTCACCACAAACTTTAGCCATAAGATCATTCTTCATCTTAGAAAGCACAAGAGAAAATAATTCATTCCCCCTCAGCACAAGTATTTAAACAGTATGAAATTAAGTTCCAAAAGTGACAATGATACAAGGATAGAACAATGATCAGAGGAATGGAACTTCCTCTATATGAGGAGAAATGTAAGATTAGGACTCTTCAGCTTGAAAATAATATTGTTGGAGAGAGGAAAAAGTGCCATTATAAACAAGAATAGCTAGAGAAGGTGAACAGGAACATCATAAAGATGAACAGGAACATAACAATGGAAGTACAGTGCATATTAAACTACTAGGCATCAGGCTTAAAACAATAAAAAGGTGTATTCTTTGGATTAAGTGAATAATTAAAGGAATGAACTCTCAGCTGTAGTATGCAATTCATGACAAAGGTAGAGATCGATGCAAAAAAGCAGCTAGAAAAACTCATGACTAAGAGGTGCCTCAAGGGCTTCAAAAGAGCCAGACACAATCTCAGGAAGTTTCTAAACGGCCGGACCTGATTAGAACACACCCGAAGAAAGATCATTCAATCTCGGTCCAGTTTCTTGTATCTTTCCTGAAACAGCTCTTGGCAGCCAGTACCAGTGGACAAGAGTTTACACAGGTTTTCATTCTGAGGCAGCACAAACAACCCAGTACTCACCCTGCTCAAATCAGTTTCTAACGTCGCACTAGTAAGTGTATGCCAGCAAAATCTTGCTCCAAGGTTTTACTGTTGACATTGTACTGCTTCACTTTTGAATAATTAAACTGTTCAGCTGTTTAAATTTTCTATGAGGTAAGCCAGGCGTGCACAGTATACACTCTGAATGAATTTAGTATAACAAACAACCCGTTAAAGCCAGCCAAATTGATAGTATTTAAATTTTGGTGATGTTTTCAGGCTTGTTGCCTTTTTTCCACCTAGTGGTAAAAACATCACAAAAACAACCAAAAAAAGGCTTTGATTTAAAAAAACCCACTTTTAATGGTAAAGAGGAAGATCTTAAGCAGCAAGAATTACATAAAAAATAAAAATACCTTTGTTTCTCTAGTTTCTTCAGATTGTCTTTCTTTGCTTCTAATCTTTGGAACCTGTAACTCTGAAACCTGGCTTTCCTGTGATGTATCATCTCTAATATTTAGGGTTCTCAGTTTAGCAGATTCTGTTTCTAGTATAACATCATTGCTATCTTCAAAGCTGAAATCAATAAAAGCACACAAAAACACTCTATTAGCGTATTTTAATGAAAAAGCTATTACTGTTTACAGATAGATCAAGTTGCACAGAAAAGTTATGCAATTTTGACATTAAATAACTATATGCGTTTCAGAGAATCTGACAGGTTTTAGTGGTTTGCAGGATATGAGCTTTAAAACAACTTTTGTACTTCTGCAATGCTGTTGCATGAAGATGTTAAAATCTCATCTAAATATTCTAGACTAGATTCTGTTTTTAAAAACAGACTTTACTAATATAAACATTGTATACAGAAGCTTTTTTTCCTCCCTGATCTTCTGTAACAATCTATGTTGAGTTCAAAGACAAATACTGTTCTTTCATATGCTTCCAGTGAGGTATTAAAGCACATAAAAGTTCTGGCAATCTATATGAAATAACAAACAATTACAATACAGCTAAATAAAACTATTAACACGCAATATTCTGAAGTAGCACTAACAGCTTCATGATGACTTTTTAGGTTTACCACTTTATTGTATAACAAGTTTAATGAAACAAATATTCAGTTTCTTTCTAGTAAAAGAATGACCAAAATTGAAACCAAAACCTTGCCTCCCACCTAGGTGCTGCACAAATAAAGTCCAAGCAACTTCCCTTTCCCACAGGAACCATCTTATTAAAAACAGATATAAATTCCAAGTGTATAGCAACACTACTTAGCAACATTACCAAGCAGTGTTTTGAGATAAATATTAGGAGTTAGAATAAACCAATAGTCTTCATGAACACCCTAAAAAAAAAGTGAAAGCAGTTTTGGATGGGATTTTAGTATTAATATAAATTAACTTTGCAAGGACAGCCCATCAGGGCAGAGAATACGAGAGCATAAATTAAAAAGTTTATTAAAACCCAGGACAGTCCTCAGAAACTAAAAATCTGTCCATTCTGTGCCAGTTAACATGATGGTAAGCATTTGAATAAGTAAAACCAATATTAAAAACTTTAAACTATTTTTTATTTTGCCTAAGCTTTCCATTGTAAACATTACCTGCATAAATTGACGTCACTTTCTCTCTCCATTATGTCATCCACTGATAAACAGGACTCTGATCTCTCGTCCTCTGTAACAGCTGTCTCATCTTGTTTTCCTTCAATAACACTATCCAATTCTTCTCTACAGGTAGTACGACCATCATTGTTTGCATCACATACCATTTTTTTTTCTGCTAATGAATAAGAATTAAATAAATTGGAACATTCTGGGCAACATCTTAGAATCCCAATTCTCACATCCTAGCTACAGTGAAGCAAAAGTTAATTTAAAACAAAAAATCCCAGTAGAAATGCCTAAGTATTAAGATTTAAGAGAACTATTCTCAGCAAAACTAAAATGTTTAGATTTAGTATGAAAGCTGATTTTGAAAGGCATTGTTCCACAACCTCCCAAGGCAGATCAGTGATACAAATCAAAACCCAAGTTCTCATTTTTAAGTCTACAGTGTCTTTATATAAAATTTATATTTGAACATTCGAAAGTGAGCATTTTTGCCTCTTACTTTTCTTAGAGGATTTCCCTTCTTCAGCAATTTTTGAAGGGACAGCCATTTCTTCTGGAAGATTCTCCACTTCCTGTTCAAGATCATCTTTTCTCTTCTTTCTCTTCTTTTTTGCTAACGCTGGCTCTAACGCAACCTGTTCTTCTGCCTGTTCAGAAATGCCCAAAGATTCCTCATTTTCTTTCTCAGCCGTCACAGCATCTGCTTCTGTTTCTGCATCAGAAATTCTGGCTTCCTGAAGATCATCTTGATCATTAGCAGCTTCTGTGTTGGCAGCTTTTGCTATTGAGACAATATAGTTCCTGGTTAATAGACTGATGGAGTATTAGGAGCCATAAATTGCAAAGGTATTTCCACTAGCAACACCCTGTGAATTCATACATCACTGCCAATATACTGCCAGGCATATGGGCAGGACCATGAGAAGTCGGTCGCTGACTTAACACAAAAGCTTCAGCATAGATTAACTTCAACACTAAATGCAAAACACATTCCATCCACAGGACAACACTTCACCAGGGTAAAGTCAATATAGGATATAAAGCCAATTTAGTAAATGTTCTTGGTTCCTATACTTTTTAGCAGGTTAGACAGTCACTTTTGGATGCAGGAAAAACAGGCATTGCTATTCCTGAAAAGAATTATCATATCCCTGCAGAAAGAGGTGATGATGGTTGCAGAAAGTATGCCACGAAAAAGTAATTTTGATCAACAGATGTACTGTAGTTAATCATTCTTATTTACATAAGAAAGCTGAACTATTATCTAGCTAATAATTCACAAGTTCTTTCCTGGGTTTGAGTTTCTAAAATTCTCCTCCCTCCCCTTTTCTGGACATTTTGTCTTGATCTTGTATTTATGCAGAACATCAACCACCAAGAACCTTTCCCTGTCCTTTTTACTATTCTTATATGAACTTGTTCCCCTGTAATTAAGAAATGCAAAACGCAAGAGAAGTAGAAAAGCATACTCACATTGCTTTACACATAAAGTACCTTCAATCTACTGTTAAAGTCTATGACCAGAATTTCTATATGTAGCTGTAAGTCCTAATAGGTGGGACATTTTACTTAATCAAATCTGAAATGAAGGCTACAAAAAAGCAGCAGCTATGTCAATTTTAAGAATTAAACAGCGATGTTGCTTCCTAGCTAGCATCCCCTTTAAAAAGGTTGTTCACTTGTCTGTTCCACAGTACCACTTAAAAGTGGGTTCTTGTGGAACAAACAAGTGAACAACTCAACAGAAATAGCAGGGAATTTTTGAAATGGTATCAGTATAACCGTTTTTAGTTCAAGCACATCTGTGGAAGGTACTTTCACAGGTGCTGAGGTAGTAAGACACTATATGGTGATCGATAGTGATTAAACATAATCTTTATCCTTTTATTTTGAACAGACCAGAAAACTAAAACAACTTTTACAGGACTCCTTGAAAAGAATCACACCCTTCAGAATTAGGGAGTCAAACTATAATTAAAGGTGAAACAGAACCCTTAAAAGAAAAGGGTTTAAAATGTAAGAAAAATTTAAATTAAAAGTCACAGAAGACCTTGCCAAAAATATGGTTTTGGCCCAAGGATTCTAAAAGTGAATTAGTTAGCAACTCATGGAGATACTTATCAACTGTTAAATTAGAATATCCTGTTTAGAATATCAGTGCTTCAAGACTATGGAAGAGCACTAATCTCAGTGTGGTCTCACATTCCTGCCCGGAGAAAACGCACCTCAGGAAACTGGCTGCTACCAGTTATTACCATCCCACACATCAGTAAACTACATCTGAAAAAGTTACGCTATGAAGTCAGGATCCTCTTGCCCTGTCTGGAACAGGGAAGGAAAAGATTCCCTATGTGATGTTTCCTCTGCTAGCAACACATTACTGACCACTGCTCTGTAATGATATCTCAAGCATTCTTTTGAAGTACCTTTTGGCTTCTTCCGAGGCCTTGATGGCTTCTTTTCCTTTGGCTTCTGGCTTTTAACAGTCTTTTGCTTCCTCTTTTCCTCATCTGCTAAGACCTTCTCAAGCAGCTGGGCAAAGAATTCAAAATCAAAAGGCCGCTTTTCTTCTATCAGATTAAAGCAAAGAAATAGAAAAGATTTCAAAGTTGATAACTTTTCCAAGTTTCTGCTTTGTAAAATAATCAGTGGTACATGTTATGATATTAAAAAGTGAAGGTTATATAGATTTAAACAGAGAATTGTTTTTGAGAATACTTTCTGTATCACTTGAGCACAGACTAGAGTTGACATGTATGTGGATTATGGTAGCTTGGTTTTAAAAAACAAATAGTAAAAAGCTTACAGTACTTAATTTAGAAAATTTAAGAAGTGACAAATACATGAATTGTACCACAGTATCAAATAATGTATCAACATGCTGCTCTAGGACTTATGTAGCTCATTCAAATAACACACAAAGCTTTTAAGGATTCTCAAAGCAGTTTACAACAGGTAACTGTGCTAGAAATTCCCATGAATCAGAATAATATTCAACTGAATATATATGGGAAAGTTTATATTAATCTCATTTATCAGACATATAGAAAAGCCAGAAATTAAATCTAAAGATCTTTACTGTGAACCATGCTTGTTATAAAAACCTAAGATTCCCCAGCTTCTGAACTCACCTATGAGCAAAAATTTCTTATAATTAATACAAGCAAGGCAAAGCACAAAAATTACCATGAAAAAAGATGCCTACCATTTAATGACTCATTGTAGGGTGGGGTACATTTACTTTACTTACTGAAAGCTTTGTCTATCCTCCATCCATTAGCTTTTTCCTCACGTTTGAACTTGTTCTAAAAGCAAAGGTATATTTGTCTTTTTCAGTAAGCAAGAAATGCAACAGTATATTGTACAAAATGGCAGATCAAGATAAACCTTCAATGCAACAAAACCTTCTATCAACTAAAGTTGAGTAAAACTTACAAGCACACCCACAGAACACAAGTTTGTAATTAATTTTTAAATATAAACCCTGTCACCAATAGATATCACCAGTCATAATTTTTTATTATTTTCAACATTTTTGTCCCTACTTCCAATCTATGCAAGGTTTGAAATATCAAAGATTTTCCCAGCTGGATACCACGAAAGAGGCAACACAGAAGACCCTCACCAAACATCCACTTATGCTTAGCAGCATTCTTCAATTAAAATAAAATTGAGACAAACTGTGTCTAGATATGCTAGATTTATAAGATAAGTTGATTGGAATTCAACCCAGCATATTAATGTTTCAGATACTTATTACCTCTTGGAAACAGGTATTAAAAAAGCATTGCTACAGAGCCAGTTAGCATCAAAATTATCAATACTAACAGGAAGCATAGGAATAGCAAATGAGAAACAGAAAAGTGAAAACAGACGTTTAATTGCTTTATTGAGTGCTTTAATTTTTACCTTAATTTCTGCTCTTGCTCTATGAGGAAACAGCCGTCCAATCAAGGAGAAGTCTGTTCCTACCATACTGATAGCTAAAAAGAACATGTCTGTTTCTGGAGCGGGGCAGGGGGCGTGGGTGGGAGAGATAAACACACTTAAGTATTTAGTTAACCATTCTTCTTGCTATCTAAAATAAAAACACCTTTCAAACTTAATGCAACGAGATAGGTAACTTTAAGGTTATCTACTGTGGCTGCAAGTTCAGCTGGGCTGGAGTATGTGTGTTATTTTACTTAAGTACCTCTAATAACATTTGCTGAATGAACTATTAACAGAAAGAACTGTCTAATCTATTATAAAACTGCAGAATGTAAAATACATTTTGTAAAGCTAGTAAATCAAAGCTAACCAACTTGAAATTGCCAATGTTCATTTTTATGAACACAACCACAAACAGAAATGAGAAAAAAGCATGTGTAAAAATACCATCTCCATTATTATTTGTTAACATGAGAAGAGTGCATTCCAAAAGCAGCACAGTGAATTCTGAAGCTACTTTTTGCACCTACAGTTGTAAAAAAACATTTCCAATTGTAAAAAGTCTTGCACAGTGTTGTCAGCCTAGAGATAATAATCAATTCACAGCAGGCATAATAAAAAAAACCAACCCACGCACTCATAAAAACACAGCTGTCCACGTACACTGAAATCAGCCCACACAGAGATGACTTATAGAATTTATTCCTGCCCATGTTGGAAGAACCAAATAAAGAAGCTGTTAAGAAGTGCTAACTGTTCCATATAGAGCTCAAATATTTGGACACCAGAATCCAAAATTATGCTTTTGATAAGGCAGACTAGCATTTCCACAGCATCTAAATGTTCATGACAGAAAAAATTCACAGGTAGCCTGCATATCATAAGGCACTGGATTTTTTTAAACATGCCAATTTTCACAGTAGACATCAGAGCTCTGCTTGTTGTAAGAGTTTGGAGGGTTGAGACTACGTCACACGTAAACAGAACCATTTACTTCACTGGAAATAAAAATTCTTGAGTACAAAGCATAGATGGAAAACAGATTCTTCTGCAGACTCAAAACTTGAAACCAAAAATATACTCACCTTTATTTGACCATGGTTTTGTGTAAAAACTTTTCCTGAAGCTGGAATATGTAGTTGTAGAGCCACGCTCAAAGATGGGATCATTTTCTTCTACAACACATGGACCTTTTGTTCTTAGAACTTCTACGGTTAAACTGGAAAAGCAAACACACAAAGAGAGTCATCTGAAAATATTGCTAACAAGACACACAAATGTTTATAAGCCAGCTATTCAGATTTTTCCTGCCGTAAGTCAGAGTTTGTACTGTAATCACGTGTAATAATTACATTAACATATATTTCAATGGGAGAATGCAGCAAGAAATCATTAACCTGTATTGCATACAGCTTGTGCAAGTAAATTTGCTTTTCCCTTTTTATAAGGTATGGTATAGTACAGACAGACATAATTTAATACCTAAAAAAAAGATTGTCTTTTTAACATTCAAGAAAATTATTTTGCAAAACCACAAGAGCCTCTCCATATTTTTTTACAACACTTTCAAATTCCTTTACCAGGTCTGCTCTGGCCTTACACCTTGGCCTAAACCTCATGCTAATAATACGTTTGGGGAACTGAACAATTTGGTAATCTAATACTTTAAAAAAATAATATTCTAAGCAAAGTTACCGAAAACAGACAGCTGAATAAAGCAGCAACACGCAAGATGCAAAGCTGAAGCAAATCATACGGACAATTGAGTAACAGTAAGCAGAAACATGCAACTGTGAGAAACAAAGAAGTTCACTAAACAGAAGACATTTGGAAGTTGGACAAATATTCAGCATTCATTCACTGTAACAAAATACAACATCTTCCTCTCTATCTGCTTCTCCAAAAACATTTCTCAAGAAAATTTGCCACTACTGAGATGCACATAACTGCTGCTTATATACTTTGCCATATATTTGTGCTGTTCCCTAAGTTAGGATAGCTCAACTCTCAACACATAAATACACTTACGTTTGTCCCTGTCCAAAGTAACTGTTCTCTATTCACAAACTAAGCAGCAATGTAGAATATATTGTCCTTGAGTCAGGCACAGAATTTGTTACCTTTCTTCGTCCAGAATAATTGAACCATCTTCTGCTACTTTCACACGAGGAACTAGAAGTGGACCGTCCTGACTCTCCTCCCCATTCTCTGCTTCTTCCTCCTCATCTTCCTCTTCATGGTCAGGGGAACTTTTCTCTTCCTGTCTACAATTTTAAGAGACCAAGCAAAAAATAATACTTTTGTTAGTGTTTTGAATTGCTGCTCCATATGCCAGACATTTGACAATTTAATGAACCACCCAGCAATGCAACCCACCAGCGAGTTAGTCAATACATAAACTCTGTAATCTGCTTTTCATTCTATCGTAAAATGGACAAATCCAAAAACATAATATTGAAAACAAAATGCTCTTTAACCACCCTCCCCTCCCAAATTACAATTTGTTATAAATAAGGGCTGTGACATCGAAACAGTAAAAAAAAAAAAAAAGACCTACACCGTTAGTATTACCACAGAAACATTTTTTTTCCAACATCAGAAAACTTTGACTACAAGTACTTCCATCACCAAGACTTACTCTTTCATTTGACCCAGTGCAGAATTTTTTTCTGTTCTCTTTTCTTCTGCCAATGAAGACCTAGAATTTTATAAAAAGCTAGAGATTAATGTTTGTACAGACACATTTCTGCTTCATTCCACAAAAACTGGTTTTAGCGGATAACAGTCAAAGAAACACAAAGCTTTTTTTCAATTCTTTGTACCACATCTAGACTTAAATCTAACAGAACAACCACCACTGCTTAATGGATTTTGCATTTTTTTTGTATAAGCAAGGACAAAAAAAAAAGATATTTCAAGCAGTAATCCATTGTAAGGGTACAGGGAATGTGAGAGCATCTGGTTCATTACCTGCTGAAGGACTACTCAGTGTGAAAGAAAAAATAACAAGGAAAGTGATAAATAAAACACACAAGCACACAAACATTAACAAGCAGGTGATAACAGACAATAACAGAAAACTCATCTGCTACTGAGAGGAAGAACAGGACTTGGATAGCTGTACTTATGTTTATGTGATTGGTTTTGGTAGTTGCAGGAAAAAGGCCCTGCTCTGCCTGTGGTAGTCTGTGCAGCCAGCTGTATTAGTGTTCCCTGTGTATGTGCACCTCTGGGATGCTCACTCAGCCTTGCTACTGGCAAAACCTGTAAAGGGAACAGTAGCAGCTACATCCATCCAGCTGGAGTGGAGAGACCTCCTGGGTCTTGCAGTGCGTTTTGCACTTCAGCACCTAGGAAGGAGAAATGCTTAGCTTCCTGTAGTCCACCAGATTTGGCAGGCAGTCATAACATCCCTAGCAGCCATAACTAAAAAACTTAACAGCAGCAAGTTATAAAAAAAAAAGATTTTCTGTTATTCTGCATTTGTACAGATACAAATCAACACTAGGGACAGGTTCATGTTTTTGTATTTCAACAAGTACATTAATCTCCTTTCTCACTTCCATATGAAGACTGAGTAGATGTGAAAATGTCTAGAAGCTTTTGTTACCATTCCAACAATACTGTATCTGTGCTAATACTCCAGATTTAAGAATTCTCCTTTTCACAATCATTAAATTGGTAGAAAAAGAAAAATCATTTCACCTAAGGAGAGAGAAAGAGAGTTATACTTACTTCATAGGATTGTTTTCTGGCAGATAGTATATCAAGTCTCTCATGGTCATTTTAGAACGATCTGGTGGAGAACGTCCTTCAATTACTGGAGGCCTGTGTTTCAACTGTTTCCATACAAAAATAATAAAAAAACCCAAACTTAAATTCACCCTGAAGGTACTTTATATTTCACAAATGAATATTTTTCTTTGTTTACAAAGTACCCCATTGGTTCCCCCTGCCCTGTCCCCAACAACTGAAATAAGTTTATCTTAAAAGCGTCCCTTTGTCAGAGAGGACATGACAGACCCTTAAGTGATGTACCCCCTCAGAGAAATGCAATACTTGGCACAAGTGAAAGTGAAAAGTTATTCAAAATTACAGAACTCTGTCAATGATGAAGTTGAAAAAATGAGAGAAACTCCAAATCCCAAGCTTCTTACAGCACACTTCCCCAACTGTGAAACTTTTAAAATTGGAACGTTGACTCTAATATAATAGGTTTCATGTCAAAAAGGCTTGTGGGTCTAGTCAAATGAAAAGATATAAAATTTCTCACAAAATCTGTATTATGAGGGAACACAGTGCTACTACTGCTCATAAACAGGCTAAACCCATACAGAGTCATGAGATATCATGGACTATTAGCAGTAAGCAGCTAATGATCATCAGAAAACACTACTGCAAAGAGATAATGTATGTTAGGTGAATCACGTCTTTGCCCTTCACACATCAGCACTGCCCAACACAGAGGCCTACCATCCGCTCTTTCTTCAGCTCTTCTTTAAGCATTTCTCTTAACTTCCGAGCTTTGAGGATCCTTTCACGGTCAGAACACATCCGTTTCTCTTTTATAGGAACAGGTTTCGTAGGTAGCTTTTCCTCTTGTGCTCCTGATCTTTCCTGTGTTGGCCTCTCCTTGAGTGGGGAGGGTACATTCTTCTGCAAGGTATCATCATTTTTTTGAGCAGCTACACCTACAGTTTGCTCTTTGTTCACCGATTTTTTTAGTGGGGAAAACTGTGGCACTTGTGGCACAGGTGTTTTCTTTTCAGGCAGCATAGGAGACTTCAAGGAGCTTTCAACGTTACTCTTTTCTGATGGAGAGGAATCCTTCTGAAGTGCAGCAGTGCCATCAGGAGCCTGTGATGCTCGCCTCTGCGGTTTTGATGAACGCTGAGCAGATGAAGGTCCAGCTCTGGGTTTGACAAGATTGGGCATGGTGGAGATCCGTTTTCTTCTCTGCGTAGGCATCTCTGCAGGTTTACTAGCTTCTCCAGCATCACTTGAGCTATCAGCCTTGTCATCGCTGGAAAATTTAAGAGAGTATTCTGAAATACTTTGCAGTGACAGATTTGTAACTCTTACTTTCCAGATATGTTTATGTGCCAATCAGTATAAACGTAGTGCTACAGAAAAATACAGTTATATACAAGAAGCCACACTAGAACAAACCTGTAGCTGGTACTTTCTCTTAAACTAATCTCCTATAAGAACTGGTATATTATTTTCTAATATTAATTACTATTAATTAATGTTACTGTTACAAGCTAGTTGACCAATAATGCTAAACTCACATGTTCCTTCCCCACCCCCCTCTTTTTTGGAAGGCTCTCTACTTTCACCTGAGAATACCAAACATCATAATACAATAAAGCTTTATAAAAAATAACCCACATAACATAGGTGACATATTACAAACATTTTAATAAAGCTATATGCAACAAGTAGTTTGATGATTTTTATTGCAATCAATCTGAACATTCCTTTTACACATTTGCAAGTAGATGATACGTAAACTGTGAATTCCAAAAAAACCTCAGCAGCGCAAGTAGCCTTTTAGAGGATTTAAGTATTTTTTCCATCCCTTAGGCAGAAATAATTTTCAAATCGGTTGGCAAGCAAAAATGCCATCCTAAATGTGCAGACTCCTCCAGAGTTTGTCTCCTTGGCTGTTGCTCACAGTAAGACTGCAGCAAAATTACAACTGAGTCATAAAGAGTTTTTTTTAATTTTACATTGGAACTATGCCTTCTTTCTGTACATAAGGACAACCACACCCATGGTTCACTTAGCCATCTTCAAAAACAGTCAGAAGCAAATGCCTTTGTAGGAATATAAGGAAAGCATAAACATAGAGTGAAACTTTTCCAAATCCTCTCCAGCTACTATCTGTGACTCAGGCAAATGCTGCAGATGATGTTTTTGTATTTAACAGCCCCAGCAGACTTTTCTGAATCAATTTGTCCCATACTGTGAGTTCATATACGTTTTTAGTACACATAACATCCCTCAGCAAGGAGTTCAGCAGCCTTACTACATGGTGCCTGTCTGCGTGTTTTGAATGAGATCCTTGAAAGTCCCATTCAACATCCTCTGGTTTTTGCACAACAAGAGACAGTGGAAAGTAATTCTTCCTTCATCTTCTCCATACCAGCTGTGTTTTGTGGAGTTTTTAATCAGAATGCCACACCAGATTTCTGAATAGTTAAATATAATTTAGCAGAAACTGTATTTAAAAAAAAATCTTATGCTCAGAGAATTTTTCACATCCTTGATAATCAACAAAACCGTTCAGCATTTAGAAAACAATATAAAGGAAAGTAACTGACACTACAGATACAGGTTTGAGCAGCTATGAAGGAATGCCCTTAGGTTGGAAGGATAAATAAGCAAGATATTTTCACATTTGCCTTTACTTTTCTTGCAGACCACACAACAAACACATTGTGCTGCATGTCACCAATTACTGCAGTCAGGAAATTAAATTGTGTGACTTCCCCCAAATCCACTCTTCCTGAATCTTCAGAGACACCCAGGCAGCCAATCCTCAAGATGCATCATCTAGAGAGACAGCTCTCCAAGAAGCTAATACTGTGTACACTGCAATAAATCCCTAGGCCTGCTCTCTCCTATTTGGTTACCATACACCTTCAAAAGCAACCAAAAACTTTAAGAACCAGCTATTCAGTGGAATTTAGGGTGACCAAATGGGGGCAAGAAGGGAGCAGCTCTCACCTGTGCCTCTTCTACTTGCTCCCACGACTAAAAGTTCCCCTGAGAGTCTCCCAGCAGTTTTACGTTGCATACTACCTTCTCCCTCCAGCTGAGCTGTGGAACCCACCACAGCACTCCAGCAGTCCACGTGTCTCTTCTAATAAGTGCATCATTTTCCAAACCTCTGCTTCTCCAAAGAAGCTCTTTCCTAGCCACTTCCCGCACATTTCACTGTGTTGGCAAACTGAAGAGGTCTGTACGCTACATTCAACATGAACAACTTCCATCACAAACAGTCTTAAATTTCTTACAACTGCTCTACTTTTTCTTTAAAACAGCAGGATGTGGTTTTGTGGATTTGTTCACTTGGATGTTTTCCGCATTTCTTGAGGAAAATATTTTATGAGCCTGTTACTTATATGGCAAAGGTCTATTTTTCAAGCCACATGAATAGATTCCTTAGAAAATTCTGCCTTTTGGGACGGCTTTGGTGTCTAGTTTTGAAACTTACAATTAGATCACACTGAAGCACTCATTAAATTGCAAACACAAAAATCTTTAATAAATCTGCTGAATCAGCAACACTACCACATAATTTTAAAATAGCAACTATATCTTCATTTAAGAAAAAAGTTCTGGATAACAAAAGATCCCATAACCTGATCTTCGTAACACATAAATTTTATAAATAAAATTTGAAAGAAAAATATCCTTACACCACATTGCAAAACAAGTTTAAGTAAAAAAAGGTGGAAGACAAGTTGAATAAGAGGCAGCATGGGTTTACCAAAGACATGTCATGCCAACTAGTCTGATACCTGAATTTCTAGCCACAGGAAACAGAAGACTGTAAGGCGACTGTGTATTATGCCATAAAAGACAAGTTTCAACTAAAAGAATAGGGGTATTCATGCAAGATGCAAAACCAACTAGTTAAAAGAAGGGAGAAGCTTGTGCTGAAGAGCAATTATCAGACTGGGGAAATGTCCTGAAGAACTGGTCTCTACTGCTGTTGGCAGGGACAGAGTTAATTTTCTTCACAGTAGCTCATATGTTTCAGATTTGGGACCAAAACAGCGTAGACAGCACACCCATGTTTCAGTTATTGCTGAGCAGTGCTTACACAGAGTCAATGCCTTTTCTCACCCCACCCCACCAGTGAGCAGGCTGGGGGTACACAAGAAGCTGGGAGGGGACACAGCTGGGACAGCCGACCCCACCTGACCAAAGGGATATCCCGTACCACCTGGTGTCATGCTCAGCATATAAAGCTGGGGGAAGAAGAAGGAAGGGGGGGACGTTTGGAGTGATGGCGTTTGTCTTCCCAAGTCACCGTTACGCGTGATGGAGCCCTGCTGTCCTGGAGATGGCTGAACACCTGCCTGCCGGTGGGAAGGAGTGAAGGGATTCCTTGTTTTGCTTTGCCTGCGCAAGTGGCTTTTGCTTTCCCTATTAAACTGTCTTTATCTCAACCCACGAGTTTTCTCACTTTTACTCTTCTGATTCTCTCCACACCCCCATCCCACTGTGGGGGGGACGGGGACAGGACAGGGACGAGCAAGCAGCTGCATGGGGCTCAGCAGCCAGCCGGGGTTAACCCACAACAGGGAGGTCCTGAAGGACTGGTCCTAGGACCAGCCTTACCATGCATTTCCATTGCAATGAAAAGCACTTAGAAAATTAAACAATCAAAAAAGAAAAAGCCAGAAAGTTCTTCCTCACTAATGCATGAAGAAATGACTACGAAACAGGAAGCGCTGTAAGAATGCAAAATCAAAGTCATTCAGTTACGCAGCGCAAAGAATTTTTGCTGTACACAGCAAACTGGAGCTCCCTGCTGCTGCAGTGCCAGAAAAACTGAGTATCGGACCACACTAGGCCCCTCCTTTGCAGTCTTAACTTATATACTATTTCAAGCACCTGCAGTGCAACCGCAGTAAACAAATGCAGGTTTTGCTTAGGTTGCAAATGCGTCAAACGCCCAGAAGTCGTTGTCCCATTACCACATACACCGCTTTCACTAGGCACCGACCGGAGGGCAGTGCAGCAGCTCTACTTCAGGAGGTCTTCAAGATGAGACAACACCAAACCAAAGCAGGGACACCCAGGAGGTGACAGGCTGTGACAATACGCGTAACTGGAGGGCCTGCCACCACTACATCCCCAGGGGCTACCGAAGGGCGGCGGGCGCCCGTCCCGCTCCCGGGGATCCGCGGCCGGGCGGTGGCAGCG